AGAGCATCGACCTGTGGACTGAAGGGTCCCAAGTTCGATTCAGGTCAAGGGCACATGCCCAGGTTGTGGGCTCAATCCCCAGTAGGGGCTGGGCAAGAGGCAGCCAATCAATGATTCTCTCTTATCATTGATGTTTCCATCTCTCTCTCCCTCTCCCTTCTTCTCTGAAATCAATAAAAAATATAGATTTTTTTTTTTTTTTAAAAAAGAACAAGTGGCAACGGTTGTTTTCAACCATTCCTGATGAGACCAGACAGGTCCTATGTTTCAAAGATGCACTTAAAAAAATGGGTATCCATTCCCAAGAACCACCTGCTATGCAGACAAATAGGTTTGGAAAGATCTGTTCTCCGGCGTTTCTTTCTCGTGTTATATTGTCGCACAACGGGCTAGCACAAAGGAGGACAGAAAAACAATCCTCTGTGTAGCTTTCGGTCAAGTTAATTTAGAAGCGGTATTGCCTCCGTGGAGGCTGCTGTTTGTGAATTTCGTAAGCTTGTTTTTGGCCTCGCTGTCAGATCCCGGAGCTGTCAGCGGGAAACCTCGGGCTCTGCGCCATGCCAGGGCCGCACAGAGTATCAATGAGTCGCTTAAAATAAACCAACGTTTCTGTGTTGACAGCAGGGCTGTCATACGTAACTACGAAGGCTACTTCCTATGAAGTCCAGTCAGTCTGGGGTCTCCTTAACCGTGCGAGTTATTGACAGGACGGAGCGAGAGGGTGTCCTGCCCCCGGAGAGGGCGTATTGGAGTCTGGTGTGCCGGGCCACCCTAAGGGAGACTTTAATCCTTGGGTTCTGGGAGAACGAGGGTTTGGGGAGCCTTTAGCATGCACATGTGTGGGTGTGCAGCAAACAGCCTCCATAAAATTAGAAATGAAAAACTACCGTACCCTGGCACACCGACTGCTTGAAGTTACGTGGGGTTTTCCATTTAAGCACTTAAAAAAAATAAAAATAAATCTGTAAATGCTCATCTCCTGGGCTACTTAGCAAAATTTGAAAGCCAGAATGTTTTGAGTTAAGAAGCTCAATCTGGCCCGGCCAGCGTGGCTCAGTGGTTGAGCATTGATCCATGAACCAGGAGGTTACGGTTCGATTCCCGGTCATGGGTCAGGGCACATGCCTGGGTTAGAGGCTTGATTCCCAGTGTGGGGCGTGCAGGAGGCAGCCGAATAATGATTCTCTCTCATCATTGACGTTTCTATCTCTCCCTCCCTCTCCCTTCCTCTCTAAAATCGATAAAAAATGTATTAAAAAAAAAAAAAGAAGAAGAAGCTCAAGCTGTCTCGTCAAGTCTGGACAAGCAGATTGCAACCTCGTATTAGAAACGGGGGCCTGGTGCTCGTCTCCGGGAGCTGCTCCCAGGAATGAGAAAGCAGGAAGCCTGCCTGGGGGAGGCGGCTCCGCGGGCCACACGAACTGTCAGTTACTCCACGCTCAGCGACCTGGCTGCGCGGGCGCCAGCATGGCGTTGGGCACTGTCTGGGCCCGTGCTCCTCTGCCTGGTGCCCTATGAGGTGGCTTCAGGGAACCTGGAGTGCAGGCCCTGCAACCCCACTCCCCGGACACGGGTCACCTGATGCCTCTGCATCGCTGCTGCCTGTGATGTGACACGGGAAACCCAAACCCGGCCCTACTCTCCCAGCAGCATTCCTGTGAGGACTGAGCCGGGGTGAAGGGGCTTGTACTATGTCACCGTCCCCTGCGGCATCAGCCCCTCACACTGCAGCCCCATCGTGGCGTCACTATACCTTCCTGGAGGGCTCAGACAGGATTTTCTACATCTTCGCTTCCCCCTACAAAACCTAAGGCAACGCAGATGCTCAATAATTCCTTTAAAACTAACAAAGAATGAATAAGTGAACAAACCAATGCGTGCAGGATTATAGCGCTTGGGAGATGTTGTATAGAAATACTGGAATTCTAACCTAGAGTGTCGATCTACGCAATTTAAACTTAATTATTCTCAAATTCTGGTAAGCAGGTTAGCCTGATATCATTATTTATTGTTGATACTCTCTCTCTCTCTCTCTCTCTCTCTCACACACACACACACACACACACTCACACCCCCACCATACGTATCAAGCTGGACACAGAGAAAGGGTTTAATATCTACCACACTTAAAATGCAGAGAGACTTTCTCATCAAAAATAGGAAGCCAAGTTATAAGAAAAGGTGACGTTTGGGGTTGGTTTACTGTTTGTCCTTTGGGGTTCAGTTCTGACAGGTTGAGCCCCCAGCCTCTTGCTAGCAGGGAGGGGGCGGAGGGGGTGTAGGGATGCTATTTGAAAACAGAATGCCAATACTATCCTGTAAATGCTACAAAAATCAATAACCAAACACCCATAGCCTGGGCAGGAAATGACTTTCCTGTCACAGGAGAAGAGGGGCTGGGGACCCCTCAGCCAGGAGGCGAGATGGGGAAGGCCTGCGGCCGGGCCTACCTCCTTGTCGCTGTAGGAGATGTTTCGGATTTCGTTCCACGGGAAGGAGATCTTGGGGGTCAGCCTGTTCTCAGGGTCGTAGATGTGAAGCCCCAGCGCATCCACGCCGAGCAGCAGCTCGGTGCCCTTCTTGTTCTGTGGATTCAACAGAGAGCAGCCGCTGTCAGCTCCGGCCGAGGCCCGAGGTTTCGTGCATCTTCCCACGGGGCCTGGCCCACCGTGTGACAGATGACAAGCTTCGGCAGGTCCCCGCAGAAGCCACGGCCCTCGTGTCACCCAGGGGGGCCTCCAGCTTCCTGGACCGGGGCAGGTGGAGACACAGCTGTACCGTTCTTATGACTCACGTGTCCCCGGAGAGGGACTCCTGGAGGCGCCTGCCACTGGCTTGATGGCTGAAGTAGCAGCAATCTAAACATTGCTAACCTCCGATTAAACAGCCAGGCTAACAGAGATGTGAAATAAAAGCCTGTAAGATGAATCATTTCTTATATTAAAAGAAAAAAAACTGTTGGCCCAGCCGGTGTGGCTCAGTGGTTGAGCATCGACCTATGTACCAGGAGGTCACAGTTCGATTCCCGGTCAGGGCACATGCCCGGGTTGCAGGCTTGATCCCCAGTGTGGGACGTGCAGGAGGCAGCCTATCAATTGATTCTCTCTCATCATTGATGTTTCTATCTCTCTTTTCCTCTCCCTTCCTCTCTGAAATAAATAAAAAAATATTTTTTTTTTTTTAAAATGTATCTTAATGTGATAAAGCAAGTATAGTAAAGTGTTCATTGTAGAATCTACGCAGTGGGTTTATATGGGTAATCGCTACAAAAAAATTTAACTTTCCTGTATGTTTGAAATTTTTTATAATAAAATGTTGGGAAAATATATCAAAATGCCCTCACTGGTTTGGCTCAGTGGAGAGAGCCTCAGCCTGTGGACTGAAAGGTCCCAGGTTCTATTCTGGTCCAAGGGCATGTACCTTGGTTACAGGCACATCCCCAGTAGGAGGTGTGCAGGAAGCAGCTGATCGATGTTTCTCTGTCATTGATGTTTCTAACTCTCTATCCCTCTCTCTTCCTCTCTGTAAAAATTCAATAAAATATTATTTTTTTTTAAAAAAGAACTATTGTGTTGATTATAGTATTCAAATGAACCACCAAGCTGTGGTCTGGCCTTTGTATGACGGCGACAGGAAGCTCCCTGCACAAGGACCTAACGCGTGTGACCCCTGGCCGACAGCAAGGAGACTAAACCAGACTCGAGGGCAGGGAGACAGATCTGCAGACTGAGAAGGTGCCTGGACCGTGAGGGGAAGTGGTGACCTAACAGCAGGAGGAGGAGCGCTCCAAGGTTCATTTCTCTTCTCTTTCCAGCACCCCGAAGGCAGGTGCCGTCAGCAGAGCGCTTCCTCCGCTCGTCCGCAAAGCCCCGGAAACTATGTATTATGTTAACACGAGCGAGGCTTTGTACTCTGAAAACCCATGGTACCTTCTGGAAAACGAGGTATTTTATTATGGTCTATTTTCTCTTAGTTTGGCTTTTAAAAAAGAAAGGATTCCACCCTCTGCCTTCTATCATTATGACTCCAGCATTTCAGAGAGAGACGGAGACTCAAACAGCCCCTTTAAAATTGCTTTCAGTACACAGACTGATGGGGAATGCAGGAACTCGAACACAAAAGACTACGATGGCCATTAGCTCTGTCTGTTGTGTAACATAAGAAACCACACACACACAGAACGATATCGGACTGCTTGATGCAACGGTTGTTTCAGGATTGCAAAACACCAATTTTCTTTGAATCGAGGCGGTGGGCATTATGGAGCAAGAGGCATTGGGCTGACAAACCACGGAAATACGTTGAAATTGGTCCGGCCCAGAAGAAGCCAAACAATGAGCAAATTCAAATGAATGAAACTTCAGAAAATAACCTTCTGCATTATTATGGAAAATCTTTTAGGCACCTGCTGACTAGATGACATCACATAACCTGTCGGTGTGTGCCTTGTTTTAAGCAAAGTAATCCATTTAAAAATCTGTATTTAGGGGAAAAAAATCAGGTAGACAGCTTACACTAGACCCGTGGTCGGAAAACTGCGGCTTGCGAGCCACATGCGGCTCTTTGGCTCCTTGAGTGTGGCTCTTCCTAAGCCTTAGGAGTACCCTAATTAAGTTAATAACAATGTACCTACCTATATAGTTTAAGTTTAAAAATTTGGCTCTCAAAAGAAATTTCAATCGTTGTACTGTTGATATTTGGCTCTGTTGACTAATGAGTTTGCCAACCACTGCCCTAGACTATTTTAAATGTGTTCCAATGTACCCAGATTTAATATAACATTTACAGGGACCCCAAAAAGGAGAGCCAACCATACCGTGATGGTCGCTTTACCGTCTACGCATCTGCAGTTTGGAGCTAGCGATGAAATACCTCAATGGATTCGCAGGAATTCCTCTGCAAGAAGCATCTAGCAGGCTGGAAAGGCCCAGCCGCAGACTGCAAACAAAGGCCATCCTGACGCAGGAGCAACTGGCTCCCAGAGGACCGTGGACAATTAATGGTCTGAATAAAAATCCAATTAGCCTGCCAGTGAGAACAAGAGCCCACACCCACGCGGAGCAGCGAGATATAAAATCGGCTTTACTCTCCTCGTGCCCTTAGGGAAGGAAGTACTTACAGGTGCTCCCTGCGGGCCAGGACCTCACGGAGCCAGATGGAAATAAGCAAATGTTGCCCTCAAGCATTCAGACAGGTTTCTGCTCAGCCCGGGACCAGCCCCAGGCCCCAGAGGCTCCACCGACACTTAATTACCTCGGATCTAATTGAAGCCCCAAAAATAGACAACGAGGACCCTCTCCCCTTCTCTCCTTCACCACTGAACCGTGCAAGAGTCTCCCATCCAGCCCCAGCCAGTCTGGCTCAGTGGATAGAGCATCGGCCTGCAGACTGAAAGGTCCCGGGTTCAATTCCGGTCAAGGGCACATGCCCGGGTTGTGGGCTCCATCCCCAGTAGGGGGCGTGCAGGAGGCAGCCGATGGATGATTCTCATCATTGATGTTTCTCTCTCTCTTTCCCTCTCCCTTCCTCTCTGAAATCAATAAACACATATTTTAAAAAACAAAAAAAGCATCTCCGATCCAGAATGAGAAAGGAACGCATTTCCGCAGTCGGGCCCTGGGCCTGTCTCTGGTTGCACACAGGGAACCAGGAGAAGCTTCCACGTACCCGGATGGCGAAGTAGTTCACACCGTACATCTCCAGGTCCTGCGCTATCTTCAAATATTCCATCTCGGCCTCGTCCCTGTGGGGAAAGGAAAGGCACTGTCCCTGGAGCCGAGAGAGGAAACGGGAAGCGAGACAGAGCAGACCCAGGCGACGCTCCTCCTGACCCGGAGTCCATGCCACACAGCGACGTCCAGCAGGCTCTGCCATCCGCATCAACCTAGGAGAACAGCCCTGGCTGGTCTGGCTCAGTGGATAGAGCGTCGGCCCGCGTACTTAACTTAAGGGTTCCAGGTTCCATTCCGGTCAAGGGCACATGCCCGGGTTGCAGGCTCGATCCCCAGTGGGGGGCATGCAGGAGGCAGCCGATCAGTGATTCTCTCTCATCATTGATGTTCCTATCTCTCCCTCTCCCTCTCCCTTCCTCTCTGAAATCAATAAAAATATATATTTTTAAAAAAGTTAAAGGGAATGAAAAGATGATCAGCTCCTAAAGTGATCAGGGAAGTGCTGATTAATATTTAAGATACGTTTTACCTTTTAGATGATAAAAATTGGGTTGATAAACACAGGTGTTGGGGAGAGCATGGGGGCGTGGAGACACACACTGCTGATGGGCACGTAAGCAGGGACCACCTTTTTTGGGGGGCAATTGGGTGGGGCCTGTCAAAACTCAAAATGCATCCTTTTGACTCAGCGACTCTTCTAAGGAATCCACGGGCAGGTCACGCAGCCCATTATGTAACGATACAACAGGGTACAACTGCAGCACGTTTTGTAAGAGAGAAAAACCTCTAGCTACTCCAAATGCCATGGGTAGAGAAATCAGCCCAAAAGCTGTGGGCTATCTCTACGGTGGAATTCTTAACACGGAACGAAATCACCAACGCATACAGGCCCGCACACCCCGGCAGGCAGGGAGTACCCACGCTCACAAGCGCTGGGGAAAGGATTCCTACAAAACTGAACATACTCCTCGCTCTCTCTTTTCTTTTACACGAGAGGCCCGATGCACGAAATTCCTGCAAGAGTACTTGTAGGCCTTCCTTCCCCCGGCTGCCGGCACGGGCTTCCCTCCAGCACCTGGGACCCAGGCTTCCCCTCGCAGCCCCGGCTTCATCTGGAAGGTCATCTGGAAGCACGCCTGGTCTAATTAGCATATTACGCTTTTATTATTATAGATGCTACAGTAATGCACTTTGTTCGGCAAGCATGTCCTAGTTTTGTAGTTTGTGTTTTTTTTAAAAAAAAAAAAAAGCCCATGAAGAAATATAAACCCAAAAGGAAGCCGCCTCACCTGGCCCGGCCTCGGTGCTCCGCGTACCAGGCTGTGATTCTCTCCTCCCACATTTCTGGAGTCATCTGATACAGATTTATTACCTAGAGAAAGAGAGAGCAACATAAAAAACCCACACACACAGGGAGGTTCGGTATCGTGTGCCATGTTTATCAGACGCATCACTTCGACAAAACAGCACGGCTATTTTCTTTTTTCCCTTAAATATATTTTTATTGATTTCAGAGAGGAAGGGAGAGATAGAAACATCAATGATGAGAGGGAATCATTGATTGGCTGCCTCCTGCACATTGGACCGAGCACGCAACCCAGGCATGTGCCCTTGACCGGAATCGAACCTGGTACCCTTTGGTCCGCAGACCGATGCTCTATCCACTGAGCCAAACCAGCCAGGGCAGCACGGCTGTTTTCCAAAAGCCACGCACAGGGAGCCAGTCCCACGCAGGGGTGGGCGTGTCAACAGGCACCATGCAGTGTGAGTCACAACTCGGGCAGCGGTGCCACCCTTCAGGCCTAGGTGCCCGCCTTGCCGGGCAGAGCCCCCCTCCCCCTTCCTGGGCTGTGTGTCCCCGAGGGAGGAGCTCAGTATCTTGGGCTCACTGATCTGGGGCCGGCCTGCTCGGCCAGGCTGCGTGTGCTGCGGCCTTCGCCTGCACAGAAGCCGCCAGAGGGGCAGGGAGAGCCAGGCCAAGGTGAGGAGCAGGTCTGTATTCCGCGTGACGGACGAGTGGAGCTATCAAATCAGAAGCAGCAAAAGGGAGGGAGGGCCTGCTTCTGTGGCTAATGAACAAGACGAACAACACTGAGGATGAAAAACTACAACGCCCACCCCTGACTCGTCTCCTCTCTGCACCCCCCTCGGCTGCTAAGCGCTCGGCTCCCTGGGCTGAACGTGCGCTGCTCCACACTCCTTCCCGGGAATCACGGACGCTCACCAACCTTTAACGAAAGGACCGTGTGCAGGCCATGCGAGTCCTGGCAGCCCCAAACTCATTCCATGAACCTTTGCATTTTTAATATTCTTAACAGAGATTCCATACTCTTTACTCCAGATTGATTACAGCCCGGCCGGCGTGGCTCCGTGGTTGAGCATCGACCTATGAGCCAGGAGGTCGGGGTTTGATTCCCGGTCAGGGCACATTGCCCGGGTTGCGGGTTCGATCCCCAGCGAGGGATGTGCAGGAAGGAGGCAGCCAATCAATAATGCTCTCTCATCACTGATGTTCCTATCTCCCTCTCCCTCTCCCTTCCTCTCTGGAATCAATAAAAATAAATATATTTTTTAAATGAAAAAGAAAGATCGATGACAAAACATTCATAATAACGTCCTTGCCACGTCCTTCCGTTATTCCTTCAAGTCCGTCGGTTCGCTCTCCTACAGGCCACACACCTGCGATCCCTTCCCCGACAGGGAACAGGATGCCTTACCCTTTTGGGAAGCAATTCCTCTTGGGCCAGAAATCCCCGCTTGTGAACAGAGGGGTCGTAGTCGCCGTACTGGAGGGAGAGAAGAGAGGGGGAGAGCGAGCAATTGAGATTCGAGAGACAACTGTCATTTCTGAACGGCCGGGCTCCGGCCCAATTCCCTCCCAGCTCCAGGGAGCAATTCAATCCGGAGGACAAGCCCAGATTTCAACCTTGCTGGTGTGTGATCCCTGAATGAAAATTCAAAGCTGATCACATCTCTGAACGCAGTTGCATAATCCCCGAGGGCGAGGCGCTAATGAAAACGCGACGTTCTGTTCGTCGGGAAAGGGAGCTGTGGTTTCTAACGATCAGAGAAAGCGGCCGCTCCGGGAGCATGAGCTTCGGAGATGAAGCGACGAAACGCGATTGTGGCCGTTGCGACGCGCAAGGTGTGCTAAGAGCCTTACCTGCTAATGGCTTCTAAGTGGCTGGTGACCAAGC